ACTAAAATATACAACTAGCTAGCAACTTGAAATAAACTTGCAATTAATCAAATGATACTTTATTGCTATAGACGAATAAAACAAATTATACAGCTAATTCTACCAGAGGTAAAAGTATTGACCAGAAGTTTAACACCAAAATAGCATGAAACCAGAACTCAAAAAAAAAAGTCCCATGTGTTGATGCTGTACACGAAATATCCAAAACTCAAATAGAAAAGAATTGGAATGCTGAAAAAGTAAAAGTATATACCAAACTAAAGTGCCTGTTCAAAAGCTTATTACCTGGTAGCCTCCTTATATTGGTGGGCCTAATAGCTTCATGAGCTTCTTGGGCATTCTTCACCTTCTTGAAGTATCTTCGTACACTCTTCGATGCAAATTTGTCACCATACCTATGAAGAAAAAAACAATACTTTTGCTTAGAAAGACAATAGATTAAGAAAAGAAAAATCCTCAAAATAGAGAAGGAGGGGGATACAATGAATGTCAGTGTATAATTTACAAAAAAGAAAAAAGGAAAAAGGAAAAAGGAAAAAAAAGAAAAACGTCAACAATTATGACGAAAATAGGATCGCTTATTTTAAAGTTTATATTAGAATCAAGGTTAGATAAAGCAGGAAGAACAGTTTTTCTTCATCCGCCCTCCTTCTCCCTTCCTCTTTGTGCAACGTGAGAGTCTCTTACTAAGTACTGCCATTTTGCACTTGCAATTAGTTAGGGAAATACGAAGGCTTTCAACATTCAAATTCAAACTGCTGACAATGACAATACTAGATTGTCGTCCTGCATTTGAAGCATGTTTGTGGATGAAGGAGGCACTTGGTATGTTGAATTTAAGAATTTGGTTGTATTTCACAGATTTTCTATTAAAAAGAATGAACGAGACCATGTATGAAATCCAAGTGCAGGAATTCTCAAGGTGTTTGCAAAAATTTATAAGATTGGAAACATATCAGACCCCAAACACATCCAACTAACAGCAAAAATTGAAATTTCAACAAAATTAAGCATCTCAAATACAAGTAAGAAAACATCATGAATTGGATTTGCAGCTTCATGATTCTTAAATTGATATAGACCAAACAAACACCTGAGTTTTCCGAACAACCATATAGACCTTAGTGGTCTGGAATCTGTACCAAATACTTCAAATCCTCTATTCCAGCATATCCATGTGTATGCCAATTAAATGCAAGATGTTGGGGGGAGCTCAGTTGGAATGAATGCCGTATCAGGTCCTGTGACTTTGTGAGCTCATGAAGGCTCAATAGGAATTTTAAAAATGTGGCTAGGTTCTCTATAGTCAACAAAATATATCGGAATTCGAAGATGGAAATGGCATGAGACGCACACATGCACACACAGACTCTGGCAATCAGAAGATCAGACCTATCTCACTAAAAATGGCTTCCACATAGTCAACAAAATACATAAAATGAAAAAGCTGGAAATAGCATGACACTCACACGTACACATATGTATGCACTCACATCAAAACTAGCTTACATATAGTCAACAAAATAGCATGACACTCACACGTACACATATGTATGCACTCACATCAAAACTAGCTTACATATAGTCAACAAAATATACAAAAATTCAAAGACAGAAAACGGTATGCACTCACATCAAAACTAGCTTACATATAGTCAACAAAATATACAAAAATTCAAAGACAGAAAACGCATGCGTGCGCGCCCACCAGTTAATGTGTAAACATGACAAACTACCCACCTTTCTTTGACAAAGGAATTGATATCCTCTGCAGCGTCTTGAGAAACCTAATCAATCAAGAAGTGAGTTGTAATAAGGGCAGAATTAAGTTTTCCAGAATATAGAAAAACATGCATTGACAAAGGAAGTAATGTCCTCGCACAAAAGCAGCAGTTTTCAACTCATAGACAAACACTAACTATATAATACCCCAATGATATCAGTAGTAAAATTAGAAAGTACAAAATATGTAAGGGATAAGGCTCCAATTCATATGTAAGGCATAAGGCTCCAATTCATAATTGAGCTTGTACCAAAATAGAAGTCATCTGACAGAACTGGTACCTACATGCAGACCATCAGTTCTCATATATGTTATCAACCCGGTTGCCTCCCCGTCTGAAAGTTTAATCCCCTCATACAGCTTCTGAGCGAGCTGTTGAATATATGTACTAGTTAGTGATAACTAAAAGCACAAAAACTGTCATCACTTAGAATACAAATATATGAGAAATATGTTGACCTACTAATTTGTCAAGGTAATATATGAGAAAGATGTTGACCTACTAATTTGCCAAGGTTAGGTTAACATGGAAAAAAAGTTAAAAAGATTGCAGTAAAAAAATGCAAGAACAAGCGCATAAAAGCAAGTTGATTTGTCTCCACGACTGTTAGACAGCATGTAAACACCAAACAGGCTTTGCCTGCATAAAAAGTAAAAAGACTAGGAGAAAAATGATTTAATCCATGAAAAATGCTCTAAGCTTGCTTTTGAATGCACAAAAAGTTGCATTCCATGAAAATAAGTAAACAATAACTATATCAGAAAGAACTAAAAAAAACTATACCAGAGTGGACTCTCCACTATCTAAGTGAATTTGCAGTCTTATCAGTTATCAGTTTAGGAACAGATAAAACAGGACCGCGTACTTAAATATTTGAAGAAGAAGCTGACCTTCATTGTATAGGAAGCTGTAAAATGCAATTTATGCAGCAATCCTGCTGCAAGTGTTGCATGCTCTATATAGGCAGGGGGCATTTTTCACAATTTTGCTTGTTTTGGTGGCTAGCACTTCAAATTTTGAACAATTAATTCGCTTTTCAATGTCTCGTGCCTCAGCAGAAGAACTTATAGAAAGCTGATCCAATTTTTGGGAGTTGAAATGTGTCATATGTGAAGAAATAGAACTTCTTCTCCCTGATGAATCCAAACAAGTATTATGAAAGTCTACTCCAATGGTCCAATACTCTTTCTTGTTGAACTTTTCTATCTCCATTTCCCTATCACATATGAGAGCTAAAGCTGCAGATTGTACTCGTCCAGCAGACTGACAACCAGGTAATTTCCTCCACAGTAGAGGTGATATATTAAATCCAATCAAATAATCCAAGGCACGCCGTGCAAGATAAGCATTGACCAAGTTACGGTCAATATCCCTGGGAGCCTGCAAAGCACTTTTGATTGAAGACTCGGTTATTTCATGAAACACTACCCTTGCTACAATAGTGTTCTCGCTCAAGGCATCTTGCTGCTGCAACATCTCTGTAATATGCCAGGCAATTGCTTCACCTTCACGATCAGGATCTGAGGCTAGAATTAATTTTTTTGCTCTGAAACATAAGAACATGCAAAAAGATGATGAGATGTACAAAAAGTTCACAGACAAATAACCGTAGATGGATAATACAAAACCCTAATAGAGACATCAAGAAAGAATATTCATAATCTTATATAATGTGAATAAGCTAAATAAAAGGAAACTCACCCATTTAGTGCAACCTTAATGCTTTTGAGATGAGTCCAGGCACTCGCAGGCACTTCCCACACCATGCTGAAGTCATCATCAGGCCGAACAGATCCTGATCTCCCAGCCAAATCCCTCACATGACCATAACTAGGAAGCACTTCATACATATCTCCTAGATAGTTCTGAATAACTCTAGCTTTGGTGACTGACTCTACAACAACTACTGATTTACCAGAGGGTGGATAAAGGGGTCCAATTTTCTTAACTTTAGAGTCTCCAGTGAAAGTATGTAGAACATTGCTTGTGGTTATATGAGATGAATTAGTAGAATTCGTTGCCTTGTCTTCTGATGTTTTCTTTGAACTCTTAACCTCCACTTCTGTTGAAGAGGAACTAGAAAGCACCTTATCCTGTTTGTTATTCCTGGGCTTTTGATTACGTTTTACAGAAGGCTTAGCACTTTGGGCTTTGTCAATGTTCTTAGCTGACCCTTCATTATCTATGCTCTCTTGTACAACCTTTTCTTCATCCTGATTCTTCTTAGGCTTCGGATTCCTTTTTGCAGGAGCTTTAACATTTTTGACCTTAGCATTGCTTTTGGCTGATTGTCTTTTAGCTAAACCATCTTCTGCAGCTTTCTCTTTGCTCTTCGCATCACTAAGTGTACTGCTAGTTATCAACTTACTAGGCTTGGCATTGCTTTTTCTTATGGATGGTTTTGGGGTTGAAACTGCAGCACTTATTTGCCCATTAACACTGTTACATACAGTTGATTTGTCCCTTTTCTTTAGCCCATCTCCAGTCCTTTTACCTTCTGATACTGCATCATCACCAGCTCCTTTTGATTTTATTCTACATGGGACCTTCTTTTTTCTCTTTGAGGAAAATGATCTTGTTCTCATAAGTTCATGAGCCACCGAATTCAATCTAATACAGTTTCCAAATTCAAAAGTGTTTCTTGGAGAGCAAAGTCTCCAAATTGGCAAGTGTGAACAAATGCTAACAGGGATATGAGAAATATAAGAATCTGTTAGGTTTACTGATATATCTGTGAAATTAGGATGTGTTGTCTTCCTAAACCTTGCCCCTCGGGAAAATGGTGAGTATGGGCTACATGAAAATTTCTGCATTGTCCTGTATTTAAGCTGCCACAAGAAACCCAGAACAAAACATACTGTCAATAGAGGAATAAAAGTAATGTAAACAAAGTTCTAGAAAATAGATGCCCCATGCCAGTCTAATTTGAGTTTTTTTTTATTTTTATTCGCATTCAGTAATATGTAAGGAAACTCAACAAAGTGAAGTATGGGAAGAGAGCAAATTAATTGGCTGAATTTAGAATCCAATCTTACACAGTACATTTCACTTAGCGAAAATAAATTGAAGGCTTTTGTTTTGGAAAAAAGTTGACTTCTTTAGAGCAAACAAAACCTGCTTGAACAATTTCTTCTACAAACAAATTAACGAAAAGTATAAAGCTCAGTTTTTTATAGTTATGTTAGCACTTCACTGAAGCCTACTCCAAGGAACCATGAAGAGGAAACAAAACATTGACTCAATAATATAAAGGAAAAAAATTAAAAATATCAAGAATGGCAAAATTCTAAGTCAACTCACTTTACCAATCAACTCGCAAAACTAAAGAAATCAATTCAATGTCTCAATAAGAAATCAAAGTCACACAACCCGAGCAATATAGGATCATTTTCTATCTGAATCCATGAAAAGATTGAAACTTTCGTCTCTCATCCAAAGCTCAGGACATTGAAAAATTACCATGGTCGCAGAAATAGACGAGGAATCGGAGAAATTCCTCGTAAGGCAACTGAAGGTCGAGAGCTTGCGGAGTTGGAGCGCCATTAAAGAAGCTCCTGTGATGTTAAATTATAATTATAGCATTCATCGTATTGGTATTAATGAAATTAAACAGGGGGATTTGGTGTTTGCAGACGACCGCTGCTCAATAGAGAAGAGAGAGGGAGGGAGATTTATCAAGGGTTTTTGGAGGAGCGTAGAGGATAGGGGCTGTAATCGGGTTCGGTCTGCTCATCACTTACCCGACCCGTATGACTGTTATAACCACACCCGATTAATCCGGTTTCCAAGCGGGTTCGATTCGACCCGCTTGCATCCCTAAAACCCTTGCCGCTCTCTCTCTCTCTCTCTTTCTCTCAAGCGAAAATGGCGACGATGAGAACGACCGCGAAATCTCTCCACCTCCAGCGATCTCTACTCCGAACTCCCTTCATCCGCCGTTTCCACTCAGGTCCCAAACTCTAACCCTGACCCTAAACCTCCCCTCTTTTTCTCAATTCCTTCTAAAAAAATATCCCCTTTTTTATCGCAGATGACATTTTCGGCGACAAGAAGGGCAACGACAGCAACGCCTTCGAGTCCTCGACGATTTCGAGAAGGCGACTCTTCGGATGCGGACCCCAGGAGGCGGCGGCGGGGCGATAGTCGATCCCGATTCGTTCTTTCGGAAGCTGGATCGGATCGAGAAGAGATCGGGAGGTGCGGCGTTCTGTCGAGAGGGAGATGGGCGGAAGGTGGAGGCGCGACGGCGCGGCGGGGGATGAATGGAGGGTTTTCGATACGCTGGATGATGGGATGGATGATAAGCTGAAGAGAGCTGCGACGACGTTTCAAGTCAGCGATGAGATCGAGGATGATGATTATGCGTTCAGGCCTGATGTCACTTTTATCCCGCCAACCACTTACACGCCTAGGGTCTGTATCAGTTTTTTTTAGGGCTTGTTTGGATTGAGGGGAATGAGGGTGAAGGGAAGTTAGGGGAACCATTCACCTCCATTCACCTTGTTTGGGAACACTTAGGGCCTGTTTGGATTTGTAGGGGGTGAAGGGAAGTTAAGGGAAACTGAGTGAAGTGAAGTGAAGTGAAGTGAAGTGAAGGAAAGAGAGTTCTCTTCTCCTTGATTACACCCCAATTTGGGGGGTAACAATTTTTATACTATTAGGGGGTGAATCAAGGAGAACTAGGGTGAATTAACTTCACCTCCTAAGTGTTCCCAAACAAGGTGAATGGAGGTGAATGGTTCCCCTAACTTCCCTTCACCCTCATTCCCCTCAATCCAAACAAGCTAGAAAATTGTACTAAAATGTTAATTCATCTTGTTTGGGAACACTTAGGGCTTGTTTGGATTGAGGGGAATGAGGGTGAAGGAAAGTTAGGGGAACCATTCACCTCCATTCACCTTGTTTAGGAACACTTAGTAGGTGAAGTTAATTCACCTCCATTCACCTTGGTTCACCCCCTAATAGTATAAAAATTGTTACCTCCAAATTGAGGTGTAACCAAGGGGAAGTGAATTCCCTTCCCTTCACTCAGTTTCCTTTAACTTCCCTTCACCCCCTACGAATCCAAACAGGCCCTTAGGAGGTGAAGTTAATTCACCCTAGTTCCCATTGGTTCACCCCCTAATAGTATAAAAATTGTTACCCCCAAATTGGGGTGTAACCAAGGGGAAGGGAATTCCATTCCCTTCCCTTCCCTTCACTCAGTTTCCCTTAACTTCCCTTCACCCCCTATAAATCCAAACAGGCCCTTAGAGGTGAAGTTAATTCACCCTAGTTCCCCTTGGTTCACCTCCTAATAGTATAAAAATTGTTACCCGGTGAAGTTAATTCACCCTAGTTCCCCTTGGTTCACCTCCTAATAGTATAAAAATTGTTACCCCCAAATTGGGGTGTAACCAAGGGGAACCCTAATAGTATAAAAATTGTTACCCCCAAATTGGGGTGTAACCAAGGGGAAGGGAACTCCCTTCCCTTCACTTCACTTCACTCAGTTTCCCTTAACTTTCCTTCACCCCTACAAATCCAAACAGGCCCTTAGTGCAAAAGTTTTTACTTGCATATTAGTAGTTATATTGATTTCCCTCTGCATATATTGAATACTTTTAACTCCTCCAAATACTATGGCCTCTTACAGGATCTCGACCTTACGAAACCTGCGGTTCCAAAGAGTTTCAAAAGAAATGAATTTGAAACAACTACGAAAGAGGCTCTGATGAAAGCCGATTTCAGGGTGAGTCCTTACTTGAGAAACAAGAGCTACTTTTGTAAGTGCATGGTTCAAGAATAGATACCCATTATGCTTTTGTACTGTACTATAAGTCGCACTATATCGTGAATAGCTGGTTATCAATATCTAAATCGAGAAAGTTGTTGCCACGTCTTTTTGGGATGTTCATCAGGGCAATGCATGCAAAAGTTCCTCTTTTATGCATGAAATTCACGGTTGTAGAGCATAAGTTGCAGACACGTTAAATAAAGATGTAGGTCACTTTTAAAGCATATTAGCATATTAAGTGGCTAATGAAGGCTTAGAGGATATTCAAGTATCTAATTAACTTGCAGAATCCAATGAGCCCTGGTGAATAATTTTTAGGCCATGTAGTTTTTTTCTTGAAAGCTGCTATTCAATAGAACATCCATAATTATGTTAAGGATGTCTGTGAGTAAAAAATTCATCTAAATTAGTCATATATGACTATCAACTTATATCAGGGGGGCCAGTGTAATATTAGTTTTGGTAAAGTAGTGTCACAACAATATTTTTAAGCTAACTCCAAAGTAGTGGCTGATGAGTGGTCATGTACCTATGCTAAAAGCATTAATTACATGTCCCAGAATATTTATAACTTACCTTATACCAAACTTCCCCCTCGAAATGCATTAGTTGTTTGTTTTCCCTAAACGTAGTACTCTTTAACGTGTATATCACTCCATGCAGAATGTGCGTTACCTTTCAAACTTTCTCACAGAAGCAGGAATCATCATCAAACGAAGCCAGGTGAACATGTAAATGTGCTTTAGTCTGCCTTAATATTGTTTGAACATTTGGTCCGAGTGTAAACATGTTTCCCCCTTACTTCTGTGCAGACTAAGATAAGTGCCAAAGCGCAGAGGAAGGTGGCAAGGGAGATTAAGACAGCACGCGCCTTTGGTCTCATGCCTTTCACTACCATGGGTAGAAAGCCTTTCGTTTTCGGAAGATCAATGGCAGATGTAGAGAATGATTATGAGTATGGCATGTATTATGACGACGACGATGTTGATGATGTTGCTACGGAGCCGGTTGAAGGAAAATAATTTACCATGATCAGGATGTTGAGGTACTGATAGCTATATCCTAAGGTATTTACAGGCAATTTAAGCTTCTGCTTTGGGGGCATGCATTTTATTGGCTGATCATTTTTCGTAGTACCGTTTTGTTTGTTTGTACACCTTTTAACTTTTGTTTGTTATAGTGCATTAGTAATATGTAATATTAGTAGAGACTAGGGAGTAATTAGCGCAGCTGAGTTATTAATCTGTTAAACTTTGTGGTCATGAAATAAAGCAACTGGTTTTTTCTTTGCACTTTCCCTCTATGGAGACAATAGATCCAAAACTTTCATGTACAAAGAAAGCTCTGCACAAATGAAGCTCGTAATAACATACGCACAAAGTACAATACTAACCTTGCAGAAACCTTTCTCAGAAAATGCAATGATCCTGATTTCCTATTCATTTGGGATATCCAAATATCAGACTTGTACTTCATCATATCATTTTCTGTCATAATTGACGAAAAAAGGTCCTCACTGCGACAGATTCAGTATTCCATCTGTCTAATACATTCCATCTCTTGAAGATTTTTCTTATCCAAGTAAAACTGTCTAGCTTCAATTAAGTGGGATGAGGATCTTTTCCATCATATGTCTGTATGGTTCCTGCAGTCCCTGTCATAAGCTATAGAAATTTAGTTGAAGTGACAGTTTCTACATAAATCTTTGTACCTGCTAAATAAGCTATCCTCTGCTGGCCTTAGCACGTATTTAACACCTCTTTGATCTTGGTAGCATCTATTCCCTCTACCCTTATTCCTTTTGGAATAAATCATCCATAGATGCAGAAACTGAGAATGATACCTTTTGGGTTCTTAATGATCCTGTCACTGTAAAGCATCATCCTATTCTTAAGCTCAATTGTAATCATATGTGCATAACATAATAGAGCTCCACTAGGAAACCTAGGCATGCTGTTTAATGTGATCAAATCCAGATTGCAGATCCACCTTCGGTCAACTTCACTTGCTAGAATGAGGACATATTTGGCCAGGTGAGATAGGTCAAGAGAAGAAGCTGTGAGATGGATGGGCTAAGAGATTTGCAATTTAAGAATAGAGGAATACTAGTAATTGCTTCACAGCACTTGTGCAGTAATTCGTCTGCTGTTCTCCATTTAATCAGGAAGTTTCTATTCTTCAATGCAGAAATTACTCTGCTTTATTTTCTTACCATAGTGCTATTAATGTCATCTGAAAATGGGAATGTACATCAAGATACAGACCATGTATATTCTCTTGTAATGGGAATATATAGCAAAATATGTACTCATACAAGGTTGACACTTATCCTTTCACTGATAATGTTCTATTTGAAGTTAAATAATTCAATCCAGTTTTAATAGCAAATTGAATGATATAATCTACATTCTATAATGTACAAGTTTTACGAGATGCAATCCATTTACTTTGAATTCATATATGATCTGATGGTAGGGTAAATTAGGAAGAAGAAACCAAAGTAGCGGCTCACAAATCTCAATTGACATTGAAAAAAGAAAATTTTCTGCGCCTAATAGGACTAGTGGGCTTATCATGTGAATAGTAGATGGAGAGTTAGTTGCATGAGTACTCTTAGCATTCCTTAAAAGGTACTAAGGTAGAGGCCAGTATTGGGTCCAATTTATTACAACATTAACCCATCTTATTCTATTCAATGTGTGACTAATTACGGTTAGTGTCTTAAATGTTAGCCGTCATGTTAGACATGGCGGTCGGCTGACATATCGGGTTTGGCATCAAACCAACATGATATGTTGATTTTTAAGTCGCATTGGGTCCATGTCGGCGACATTTAGGCAAAAATCGGATATAGCAGGTGAAATATCAACGGTTAAAAGTCCGCGGATTTGCTCAAAAATCCTTTTTTTCTTAACAGTTTAACTTGCATTTGAACCCGATCCGCCCCAAACCCAACTTAAGCTTGAACTATATCTTTTGGTAGGACTTTCTTTTTGCCCAAATCAAAAAATGCAGCAGTTGCTGTTTCGACTTCTTTCTCTTCATTGCAAAATCAAAGACACATCATCAAATCAAAGCCTCTCTCTCTCTCTCTCTCTCTCTCTCTCTCTCACTGAGGAAAATTATGGTTTGAGCTTTCTCTCTCTCTCTCTCTCTCTCTCTCTCTCTCATCACACAGAGGAAAACTAGTGAGTGTTTGAAAGTAGGGGGTGGAACCTAAAGCTTCAAGCCTTCAACTGTCCTTTTTCTTTGAAAGATACGCCTCACCCTCCCATCTCTCTCAGTCCCTCTCTTAGCATCTTCGTCTCTCTTGTTCTCTCAGCCTCTTTGTCTCTTTGGTTGCAATCAATAAGTGCATCAAACGTGAGATGTGAATACATGTGGAATACAAAGTTATTGCTGTCACGCCCTGAATTTGCAACAAAAAATTTTAAATATGATTTACGTGACAGCAGCGATCCATGCACGAGACAAGTTCCGAACATGAGTCAAACCTGACACTTCATATCACAGAGCTTATCTCAAAACATAAGTAAACTTTCTGATGATAGAAGTTCAGAGCCACTACATATATAATCAGTACTTACAACCCACAAGCTCACCGTTACAAGCATTTTACAAAATAAAGCATATTGTTGATTGTATGAAACCACCAAAGAGGAGGTTTTCTCATGTAACGCTTCTCAGCGATGTGCCACAACCAAAAGTCCAGCTTATAATATAGCTAGACGAGATCTGAAAAATAAAAGAAAACAACGGGGTAAGCTAGGGCTCGGTGAGAACATTTCCCATTAGTGTTCCTAAGTTACTAACAAAATAATAACAATAATAATAATTCCCAGAAATAATGAATTATAAGGTTTGCACCACAATTTTAAAAATAGCAAGGTACGGTCCAAACAATATACTATTGTTATTTTTATGGAAGAAATGCAACAGTTTTATGTTTCTTTCTTATTTACAAACTAAATATACTGTAATATATTCCAAAATCAGACCTCTTTTTTAAAAGAAGGTAATTACTAAGAAAGAAATGGACTATTAAATTTGTGCAAAACCAAAGGTTTGTGGTTTTTTCTATTTCACAGTCAATTGTCACAATCTTAAATCTCGATGATTCATTCGTGAATGTGAAAATCACCTCATAGGTCACACTAAGACTATAAATTATAGCCTAGTAGCATGGGAATACGTAAAACGCATCACATAACAGATAATTCACGGGAATCAAATGCACCTAATGCTACTATAGGTTGTTGGCCAAATACAGAAAGGCCAGAACAGATTTTTCAGAATGACCAAATACTGAAGAGTCAAATACAGAAGGGCCAATAAAGGTGCAGACGGAATACTCCATAGTGGACTTTTTGAGGGTTTAAAAACATCGAGAATCACTTGTCAAATCGGAAACACATCACTAATTACTTAGGCTACTACAATTGCCATTAAGCGGATAAATTTGAAGCATATTCAAGTTAGATTGAAACAACAGAGATAATACAACATGCAAACTTAACTAGTCTAATAGAAGTACCAAGAATAATGATGTGAATCACACTTGCGGACATGCAAATATCCCATGGCTAGCACAAATTGACTAGATCTCTTGAAATAGTGGGAATTGTAAAAGAAAATAAAGATATACGCTAGATATAATTAAGTTTGATAATGTGATAAATGTGCAATGTCAGCCGAAAGATGGTAATTAATTTGCTAATGATCATTATATGACATATATGTTAATGGGTTGTCAAATTTTAACTCTCTTCCTATTTAAATATTTATGTTTAGGCGATATAATTTATTAAGTATGTTTAGATTTAAGTTATGATATTATATTACACGTATGCACACCATCCGATATGGCAATCCAATATTTTTCTCATGTCTCCTAATATATCCCTAATTACTGCTATCTGACATGAATTTTAACCATCCGACATGTATCCGACATCCAACATTTAAACCTTAATTCTAGTATTTAATTCCACACCTAATTGCTCATTTATGTGACTACACTTAAACCCAGCGCTGTCCCCTTTGTACGAATTAAATCATCATCCATTACTTTGCATTTCATACACTAGTCAATATTTTATGTTCTGGAGTTTTATTCTACTTTAAATTTATCAGAGACATACTTGAACACTCTACCCTCTTCATGGACCAGTACAATCAATTTCTGAAGAAGCAGACAATCTTCTTTCTCTTGCCCCATAAGTTTTCATCTCCAAATTATTTGATATTATTTGGTCTACAAAATTATACAAGAGTACCAATGAAATGAGAAATTACACTCCTCTGCCTATAATTTCTTGTAGAACCCTATTCCCTATATTTGTGCCAACTCGTATATACTTATGGGATAGCAGTCGCCGGCCTCAGGACCATAGCTTCTGGCAGCCATGATAGCATTAGCTGCTTGTGTCGGATGGAAGGAATCCCAGAAGACAAACTGGTCTCTGGTGTTGCATGGCCTTTGAAGTGGCAGACAGCTTACTTCTCCCCCATACATACCATTCCCACAACAAGCTTGGTTATTAACACTAAACCCTGAACGCATGAACAAGAAAATCATTAAACTCCATATCATTATTTTTAAGACTATTTAACTTCCATTTCTTTTTGGCAGATGATACTGACCATATTTAGAAGAATTTTGGATCAAGTCATAGAATGAGACGTAGATATTCTGGTAGACAAAGAAGGATCCTGGTAGGCTGTTGTTAAGTTTGACTGTGAGTGGAAGGAGTCGCTGGTTGAATGCTGAGACCACCTTATTGACTCGCTCGATGCAGCGCCCATCTGTGCTGTTGTGCTGGTTGAGCTGGCTTGGTATGCATCCAAGTGGACCAAGTCCTACTACCACTATTTTTCGAGCTCCAATGCTGTATAATCTCTGCATGAGGAAACAGATTTTAGATACAACAGCATTAGATTTTATAGGAGCAATGGGAATTCTGGACAGCATTAGATTGTATAGGAGCAATGGGAATTCTGGTTGTGTTTATGTGTTTGGCTTAAAGGCAAGGAAACTGAATGGCTATAGGAGAACCTAGCTTGATAGTAAGGTTGTCCATCCTATATGTCAACTAGCCTGAAGGTTTTGATCTTACTGACCAAGAATTTAGCATCAACTTGCAGGACTGAAGCATGTTTCAACTTTTCATAAATTTGGGTTGATTTTTGCCAAGGTTCCTTCTCAATGTCGAGTTTTTTTTGGTCAACTCTATCAGCTATTTCTACTATTTTTTTGCCTATTGTCTAGTGTTCCTACAGTGGAGATTAGAATAAATCACTGATCTTAGAGAGTTTTAGGGAACAAATGTCCCTTACCCTTTTTTCCCCTGAGAAAAGTTTGGATAGCGCTTTATGATCCCATTGGCAGTAATTTATTTTGATGACACAGGACTGCAGGAGAGACCTTAGGAATGATCTGGTTTCTGCTGGATAATTAAAAAGTTTGGTAGAAAATACAGTTGGAAGAGGAATTACGCTGTGGTCAGATTGCAATTACTATTTCCAGCAGGCATTCTGACAGCAGTTGGTGGACAAACTGTGGCGAGTTATTTCAGGTTCAGTGTGTCTTGGATAACAAATTATGTGCAGGTTGCTGCCTATTTTGTGACACATGATCTTTGTTCGACGGAAAATGCTAGAGACACACCCTTAAACCACACTTCCAACCACACTCCTCTCTCGCTACAGTGCACTGGGGTCCACATGAGAATTTTTTAAAAATTCTCATGTGGGGCCTAGTGCACTGTAGCAAGAGAGGAGTGTGGTTAGGGTTGTGGTTTAGGGTGTAACCGTAGCGCCTCTCTTGTTCGACATCTACTAAACCCTACTCATTTCTTGTCATAAATGTGCTTTAATGGGTTTTAGGCTACATTAAGATAAATGTTCTACGACCAGCTCCTATCTATGAGAACTAATGTCATTATTCTGAATACTTTGTGGAAACAAGAGTCTTTAGAATCTTAGACCGATGTAAACATCGGAAACATGTGCTTTAAGACAACAGTGATAGTTTGGTATCCTTTTTTTTAAAGTAAAAACAAGGGTTAAACCCCGTTCATTAACAATCAGAATTATCAAAAGATAGATCAGTACAAAACAAGGACACGAACTGTGTCTATATGTTGGAATATAGAAAATAGAATTTCTACTAGAAGTGATGTATAACCTTACCGTCATTCATCGTTGACACAGATTTAAGGAAGAACCAAAGCCAGCCATACATATACATATACATAGTAGAAATTAAAATTTCTATAAACAGCAAAAAAGATAAAGTTAAAAATATAATATATACAGAAATGTGTGAGAACAAAACAGCAAGAGAAAAACACTTCAATTGTCATCAAACACTTGCTCTTGATACTTTGGTATCCTTAATCTTTGGTGAAATTTTAATGTAACATTTGGGTTCAAATTTAGTTATTTCCAATGGTTTTGCTTGTTTATCTGGGATTTTTTTGTCCCTGCTGATAAACAATGCGAACTGAAAACTCTTGGTAGTAAGTATTGTGTTCTGTATATTGGTGACTTTTTGGCGCCGTTCATCCACCAGGAGTCAAGATATTAATAGTCTAGCAACAATTGGATCCTGCAATCGGCAATGTATCATCTTAAGTATTGTTGTATTGCCCTTTTCATACTTCTAACGTTTCTAGGATTTTCTACTTGACCTGTTTGCTCTTAAGCTGATTCAAATCCAATTTGAACGAGGTTGTCGATCTGTATGTCAATAGATGGGCATCCAGTACTTAGTTCATCTGAAATATTACGTGCTTGGATATCGATAAGTTATCCAAAGTGTAAGATGGTGATGGAGTATTTGCATGCCCGAGTATTAACCTACGTGACTGAACCCTTTCTACTCAAGTTTCATATTCCCCTTTCCGTAGTGATCATCTATAAGCATGTTGAGTGTCATGAAGTGAAAACTTATTCGAACTAGAACGAAACTTTAGCAACGTCTATACAAAATAGAAGAAATCAGAAAGTACCATGAGTTGCTGAGACAAGTTGGTGATGAGAAGATCGGCGAAGGCATCGCCTGAGTAAATCCGGCTAGTAGCATAAAGTTTAGGAAGTAGGTAGTTGTTAATGTAGTCATTGCTCCCTATATTAACTATGAACAATGAGCTTTCCAGGAATCGAGCGAGTGCTGCCGCGTTTGGTATCAAATTTGGTAGATCCTTCCTCACCGTCTTCTCAAATAAATTTAGCTGCCCCGTGAATGTAACCCTGGCTCCCTGTCACACTTACAAGCGTCAGCAAAACCGCTTTCAGGAAGTGAGGCGCGACGCGACGAAAAGGAAGCAAGACTTACATAGTTTATGCCAGTGTCTTCAAGAATGCCCGCGGCAGCTGAAGCGTAGTTCACACCATCCAAGATCTTGGAAGTTCTTGAAGCTAGACTCAAGTATGGAGGTGGGTAGGGTAACCCTAGGTGCTTAGCTACAATGCATGTCAACACAAGGTTATGCTACCACATTTTTATGTAGGGTTAACTGTAGACACAACCCTTCTCTCATTATCGCCTAAACTATTTTATTCGTGTTTATACCGTTTGACGGTGTAATTTCTCTTGTTTGGTTGAGATATCATGTGAGATTCACGTGACAGTAAACTATCTTTTATTCTAGGTCAGGTTAACTAAAAGAAGATTAAATCGTCCTCTAACTTGATAGCGAAAAAAAAAAACTTCTATCCTTTAGAATGTGTAAGCGCTCGTAGAATAGTTTAGAGAATCAACTTACAGCCGAAATCTGCAACAGTGAGCCCGTTGCAGAAACGACCGCTGGGCTGGCCAAAATCAATGCCGTAGGGTGCGTAGTTCGCCTTGGCAAGCGACGGTAGGAAATTGTTGTTGCCATTGTCAATAAGGGAATCGCCGAATATGAACATTGCCGGCGATTTTGCACATTCTGGTGTGCAAAGAAAGCTTGAAAACACAAGAAGTGAGAGGAGAAATTTGGAAGGGAAACAAGTTCCCAGTCCACTTCCTTTCTTCTCCATTATCTCGAAGTTTTCTCGGAGGGAAGCGAGTTAGTTACAAGGGAAGCTCCTATTTGTATTGTTTCAAAGTTACTTGTCATCAAAAAATAATGAGAGGTAGTTGAAGGTTACAATTATTTTTATTACTCCTACTGTCAATCCATGTTGAGCTAGTTTCTGTTTTTTTTTTTTTTTACCTCTGGAGATTCTTTGTATAGGGTCATTTAATTTTTCTGTCTGTGGATATTAAATGAAAGGTGGGCTCCTCTACATAAGAGCTTCTGATATACAGTATACCGACCAATCTCTACACAAAGTTACCACTATAGATGCAAAGCTCCAATTTTTTGATAAAAAAATTTGACTTCAAACTTGCAGCTAAAAGAGATCTTTGAAAACTACAGGTGAAGATGGATAAAATGTTGGGAAAGTTACATGACCCTGTTGAAGGGATCCTAGTCCAAATCTAGAATTTGAGCTTAATCATTTTGTACACAGACCCCTAGTTGCTAATTTTCCTTTACCTGCACAAGAGACGAAATAAGTGCACTGAGAATGTCTATCTGCACCTGAACAAATACTAAAGGTGGTCTTGCTCACAAATGGGTGATACTAGAGGGGTTTATTAACACTTAACCCTATAGAAGAAAGTTCAAGATCTACCACCAACGTGCTAGAGTAAACTGTTTCTCCACATCAATAATGGTGTTTTTTCTGGGTTTTTTTTTTTTTTTGGGTGGTGGGTCATCATCATTAACTTCACATTTATACTTCATCAAATGCAAATGCACCCTGTAGATATCATTTGGCAATATTATTCAACTGTTATATGATAAAGGCCTGTTCGTTTGCCTTAAAAAAATGGGAAATCAAAGAAATAGAAAACTATTTCTAAGAAAAATGGGTTTTTGAATTGTTTGGCTGGCTAAAAAAAAAGGAAATCAAAGAAATGGAGATGAGATGAGATGAGTTGTCACATTATTATTGGATGATGTGAGTGATTTTTTAAGAAAAATAGTTTTGCTGTTGTTCGGTTGGCGAAAAAAATAAGGAAATGCAGGGGAGAGCCTCCGCAGCAGCTAGCATCTGTATCCTGAGTGGCATTCTAGACATGCTTTGTTGACTTTGGGTGTTTTATTTGTTCCCTTTTGGTTAGGGGCTATCAGTGCCTAGCATTTTCAGTCTCTTATCAGTATTGTAGTGTTTTCTATGATCCTTATGAAACGTTGTCTATTTTTGGTTTCCTTTTGCCTTCTTTAGAAGATGGTATCGGTTGGTGTGGTGTGGTAGGGGACGACTATGGTCCGCTCCCTACCCACCTCTCTCACTGATCTCACCATCATCTAGAGAAGAAGTATGTACATTCTTCTATCTTCTATTAATAAATTCAAATGAACAGGGTACCTCACCCTGTTTCTCAGGTTCAAAAAAAAAAATAAGGAAATGAATTATAAGAAACCTATTTCCTGTAGTTTTGTTGTTTTCTTTTGTTTGGTTCATTCTTAAAAATAAGAAATAAAATGAGATGAGATGAGTTGTCATTGTATTATTGGGTGATGTGAAGAAAGATTAAGAAAAGTGTTTTCACAACTTTTTGGAATGAAAACTAAGAAATGAAATGTTAATGAGATGAGGTGAATTGTTATAATATTTTATTCGATGATGTGAGTGATTTGAAATGATGAAAAGAGATGAGTTGAGTGATGTTTGAATGAAAATAATATTTTATTAGATGTGATGGATGAGTTGTTAGATGAAAATAATATTTTATTAGATGTGGTGGATGAGTGGTTAGATGAAAATAATATTTTATTAGATGATGTGGATGAGTTGTTGGATTAAAATAATATTTTATTGGATGTTGTGGGTGAGTTTTAGGGATGGAAATGGAAGAAATGGGTTATTTTGAGATTTCCACCTTTTCCATTTCCATTTCTTGGTTTTTAGGAAATAAACGAATAGGCCTAAGTACTTAGTAGTCCTGTCAAGATGATATTGTCATTTTCAGATTTAATAAAATTGCTACATGGAAATTTCTTGCATATAACCAATTGAAAACTTTATAAGTGCTGGTATAAAACTAAGATTTCTATTACTATCAAACCCAATTATAAATATAGGGTTTATTTCGTGAAATTATCTGGATATTAAAAAAAATCTCTTGACCTTTTACATTTTTATCTTTTTCTCTCACTCTGATTCTCTGAGCAATCCTTTTAGTTGTTGGGAGTTGAACTGGTACTGAGTAATTGTGTTTTGCCCTTCACAGATCCTGTCTGCAACAATGGTCACAAAAACAGAATCTTCAGAAACAAGGGAGGATGGAAGTAAATTTGAATCTTCGGACACAAGGGAGGATGGAAGTAAATTTGATGTGACGAGTAAAAAAATGTTATCATAATTCATAATCTGTTCTTCTTGGTGTGTAACTTTGCATTGAATTATTAGTTTCTTTTTGCACCGCCTCCATGTTATTCATCCTCCTCCTCCGACTCCGAACACCTCCTCCGCCAATTCTGACTTTCAGCAAAATCTTCCCCACCTCCAGTTAAATAAAACAAGAAACATGTTTTGGCTCTGCCTAGGCGTCCGCTTAGGTGCCTATGCGTTAGACTATGTGTCTAGCGTCTAGCGTTTTCTATAACATTGCATGTGACAAGCACATGATTTGAAAAGAATAAGATACCCCCTTAA